GAGCAGGGGTTTGGTGGGATGGGAGGAGGGAGAAGAAACTCCTTGGATGGCTCATTGGATGGATCAATTGATTATTAGATGGATCAATGATTAGATGGATCAGTGATTGGAAGGACCATTGATTAGATGGACTATTGATTGGATGGACTAGATGGATTATTGATCAGATAAACTATTGATCTGCTGGTTTATCAATTTGATGGATCATTGATTGGGTGGATTATTGATTGGATTGATTTTTGATTCAATAGACTGTTGATTGGATGGGTTATTGATTGGGTGGATTATTGATTGGATGGGTCAATGTTTGGATGGGTCAATGTTTGGGTGGATCAATGATTGGATGGACGATTGATTGAATGGATGATTGATTGGATGGATTATTGATCTGATGGACTATTGATTTGATGGATAATTGATTGGAAGGACCATTGATTAGATGGATTATTAATTTTTTTTAATTATTGCTTTGATTTAATTGTTGCCCAGTTTTCAACCAATCCCCTCCTTCCCCCAAATTTTCCGGGGTGGGGCAGAATTTTGTTGAGAACTGAGGTGAAAAATGTGCATTTTGGGCCTAGGAAAAGACCATATTTGGGGACTATTCCCATTTTGGGGGGAATTTGGCAGGTTTGGAGGTGTTTCCTGACCCTGGTTGAACTCACCCCAGACCAGAAGGGTCCAGACCCACGGTGACACTTTCCTCCTGCCCTCCATGGTCCTTTGTCTGCAGAGAATAAGGCCAAAAACACATACATTCTGTTGTTAGGTTTTTTTAAAATTCCACCTTTTGGGCCTGTGGCCCCAAATCCTGAGGGTTTCTTGCACTTGTCCCTAAATTCTACATTTCCTTCACCAAGCACCCTCCAAAATCTGCTGGTTGCCCTTCCTGTTCGGCCACAATGAGTTTCAGAATTATTGAGGCTGGCAAAGCCCTCTGAGACCATCAAGCCCAGCCCGTGACCTGACACCCCCACATCTCCAGACCAGGGCACCAAGTGCCACCTCCAGCCTTTTCTGGAGCACCTGCAGGGCTGGTGCCTCCCCCACTTCCCTGGGCAGCCCATTCCCATGGCTGATCACCCTTTCCATAGGGAAGTGCTTCCCTATGTCCAACCTAAACCTCCCCTGGAGCAGCTTCAGGCCAGGCCCTCTTGTCCTGTCACTGGTTTCCTGGGAGAAGAGCCCAGACCCCACCTGACCCCAACCTCCCTTCAGGTGGTTGCAGAGTGAGAAGGTCCCCCCTGAGTCTCCTCTTCTAACCAACCCCAGCTCCCTCAGCCTCTCCCTGTAAGACTTTCCCTCCAGTCCCTCCACCAGCCTCGTTTCTCTCCTCTGGGTATGCCCCAGCACCTCAAGGTCCTTCTTGCAGTGAGGGGCCCAGAACTGTCCAGGTCCCCTGCAGCTTCTTCCCACCCTCCAGCAGATCAACGCTCCCCCCCAACTTGGTGTCACCAGTAAAGATGTTGAATAGAACTGGGCCCAGTTCTGATCCCTGGGCATCACCACACCCCAAAATCCCATGGGTCTCCTTCATAAACACTCTAAAATCCATTTCCCCCCCATAATCACCCCACAATTTCCATTTTTCCTCCGATAATCACCCCCTGTGGTTTTTACTCTTCCACCCTTACAAAAAAATTAACATTTTATTGCACTTTTTCCTTCCCCCCCCCCATTTCCCTTGTATATTTGGCCCGGCCCCATTTTCCCCCTTCCCCCCCAAAATCCCCTTTTTTCCTCCTTTTCTCCCTTTTCCTTTTCCCCTTCTCCCCTTTTCCCCCTTTTCCTCCTTTTTACACCTTCCTTTTCCTTTTTTTGCCCTTTCTTTTCTTTCCCCCCCTTTCTCTTATTTTCCTTTTTTTTTCCTTTCCCCCTTTTTCCATTTTCCCTTTTTCCCTATTTCTCATTTATTTTGCCCCATTCTTCCCTTTCCCCCAAATCCCGTTTTCCTTCTTTTCTCCCTTTTTTCTTTTCCCCTTCCCTGTTTTCTCTTTTCTCCCTTTTTTCCATTTTCCCTCTTTTCATTTTTTTTTCTTTCTTGTTTTTCCCATGTTTCTTTTGCCCCCAAATCTCCCCTTTTCCCTTCTTTTTTCCTTTTCCCCTTTCCCTCTTTTTTTCCCTTCCCCCCTTTTCTCACCAAATCCCCTTGTTTTCCTTTCCCCTTCTGCCTCTTATTTCCCATTCTCCTTTTCCCCCTTTTTTCCCTTCCCCCTTCTTCTCTTTGCCCTTTTTTCCCTTCCCCCCTTTCCTCCCCTTTTCCTCCTTTCCCTCCTTTTCTGTCCTTCTTCCCTTTCCTCCCGTTTTCCCACTTTCCCACCTTTTTCTCCCCCTTCCTCCCATTTTTCCTCTTTTCCTCCCCTTTCTGTCCCCTTTTCCAGCCTCCTTTCCCCCCCCTTTCCCCTCTTCCCTCCCTTTTTTCCCCTTCCCCCCTTCTTCCCCCTTCCCCTTCTCCCTCTTTTCCCCCAAATCCTTTTTTAATCCTTTCCCCCTTTCTTTCCCCTTTTTCCTTTTATTTCCCCTTCTCCTCTTCCCCCTTTTTCCCCTCTTCTCCCATTTCCCCCCTTCCCCCCTCTTTTCTTTCCCTTTCCTCCCCTTTTACCCCCTTCCCCCCCTTTTTCTTCCCCTTTTCCTTTCCCCCTCCTTTTTTCCCCTTCCTCCCTCTTTCCTCCCCTTCCCCCCCCTTTCCTCCTTTTCTTCCCCTTC